AAAAAAAAAAAAAAACAAAAGAAAAATTCGACGCAGCATGATAGAAAATACCGAATGAAAAAGATCTTGTAAAAATTAAATATTCTGTTCTTACGTAAATTATGAATTTTGCTGAACCTGCAGATATTTGAATTTTATTAATTCCTCTTAGTTTGAGTATGATCGTTTTATAGTATCATGCTATCGTGACAGATGTATTGATTATTGTTAGAACGATGTTATTCTCGAATTAATTATTCTTCGACAGAAATGGTGAATAAACTTGCAAATTTTATCTTTTGCTTTTCTTTTTCTTTTTTTTAGGCTGCTGGTAGGCATCAGTGCAGCTATCTGATAAATCTGCAGAAAGGAGAGTTCATCCTCCAAGGCGGTGACCCATCGTGGCTTCGAGGACTGAAGTCAATCCCAGGGAAACTACAAGATCTCTATGAGATCAATAAGATTTTAGCTCACAGGCCGTGGTTGCTGAACAAAACGCACATCGAGGTTAGTTAATGCACGAGTACTTCTACAATTATATTTAATACATATTCTACGTATCGTTAATTAAGCACACTGTGCTTAACACAAGTTACAAGCCGATCGTTCTAATTATCAGTTTAATTTAGCGAATTTTGCATTTGATTCATTGATTAACATTTAGCAAGCTTTGTTGAATTTTTCTTTCTCATTTTGTTTCACACCATTCAGCAAGTTTAGTATTGAACTCGGTGGTCTTTCCAATTTACAGAAACTGACGAAAGGCGCGGACAGTTGGTCCTTAGCCGAGGTGGTTCACGCGATAGTCCTTCTGGCCCACTTCCATTCTCTTTCCTCTTTCGTGTTCTCCTGCGGCATCAACGAAGAACTGGACAACGTGGCCGGTCACCATTACAAAGAGAACGTCCAGGATAATAGCAATAACGTACCAACTGCCAAAGACAAGCTTTCCAGTAGTCCGAAGAAGATTCCGAATGGCGACGGCAAGACTGGTAAGTCGGTCGCCGGTCGTTTAAAATTCCCTCGATAGCGCGCCAACTCTAAACAACGTAAATTCAAACACTCACGACGGCTGAATATCATTAACTACATTCTACTGCATGTCATTATCGTTTCATTATAGCTATGAATTTCTAAAACGGTATTTATAATATCGTGTCGCGCTATAAATCACCGATTTTTAATCTTATTTTCTGCTCCGTTTTTTCCCCTCTTTTGTTTATCTCTCTCTCTCTCTCTCTCGCTCTTTCTACGTTTTATTGCGTCTACGAAAACAAGCAGGTATTTCCGTTCTTGAAGTTCAACGACTTTTACCAACTGCGTCTCTCGATCGTGACAGACACCACTCCTAGCAGACGTGTTTGTCCCTTGTGCTTTTCATTCCAATGGAAAACAAAATATATATAAACAGACCGATAGTTGCCCCAGAATTTGTATTTTTGTATTTCTCGAATTGTCAGCGTGTAATTATCTGTGTTATCCAGTAACTTGGTTTTAATGGACACGATAACAAGTAGAAGACGTACAAACACGGATAGACAAGTACAATGCAATTAATGTACTCGCGTCTTAATTAAGAAAAGTAAGAGTCTCACAATCTTCCGGAGCAAAGTAGATCTCGTCTGCTGAACGAACAAACGAACGATATGGATATCCGTGTACACGGAGAATAAATACATAATTACACGCGCGTATTAAGAACGTGGATTTAATAATTTGTTAATAACGTGTCACACCGAAATCCCGAAACTTGTCACAGCTTAATAACAAGGTGTCGTTATTAAAATTTATGCAGAAAACATGCCGTCGCCGCCATCCTCGCCGAGTATAGTAGGCGAGCAAGAGGTCGGCGTCGAGGCGCTGATGGAACGTATGAAACGTCTTTCCGAGAAGTCGGAATCCTACCAGATCACGCAGGAGGAGCTGTCGAAGAGATTCGAGACTGTAGAAACGCAATCCGCCGAATTGGCCGCGGCGCCACAGCGTAGTAGTTCCGTTCTCGATTCTGATATCGGCCATTTTATCGAGGATCCCACCTTCATCTACCAAGACTTCGCCAAGGTGAGTTTCATTCGTTCAATCATAACAGCAGTATGCCATAATATTCGTTTCATTGAATGTTACGGATTTGTGGAATGTTTGGAACTTCCTTCCGTAGTAGCTCCAGTATTAGGAAGTTTAAATTCCCGATAGTAGAATATGACCGATAAGAATTGCAAATGGAATGTTGGCTCGCATCTTTCTTCGCCATTTGAACCGGATGGTAATGAATAAATTTGCGGATTTTTATGAGAATTTATATTCTTTGGGAATGTAGATGTTCATTCATTTGGAGGAAGTTTATCGCTCTAATAATACATATGTATATAATAACTGCAAAAATGTTCAAGCATACAATATAGAGCATATTACAGAATATTCAGCAAAGCAGATTTCTATTTAGTTTTTATTATCAGAACATTCATCGCAGTATTTAATAGACAAACACTAATATAGTCATAGTGTTTAGTTAGATAAAACAAATTTCTATTTCTGGCATTCAATTATTAGTATGTTCATAAAATCTACGATTTTATACGCACTTACGAAGTCTCAAGAACTCTGTCAATAATATATTTTCATTTCAACAACACGTGAGAATCGAGCATCGAGTGGTCAAAACAGCGGTATATCTATCGGTATCATAATTCGCGAGGCTGATTCGAAAATACGTTTCAAGGCGACGTTTTCAAGCCCGCCGATGAATATTTAAGTTTCGTCTATTCGATTATCGTTTCCACTGCTTTATGAATATTTACGACATTGTGTGTGTTTGTCTTGTCGAAATCGAGTAGTTCAGCCTTAAAACTTGGTGGCGTGATCGAATTCGCGGACGAGGGACAGAGGAAAACGTTATTCCATTATGCTACTATCCAATTGCACTCTACGCTGCTAGTTAAAAATTTGGATTGTCTGTTTAAAAATAAAAGCGAGACACATTAAAAAAAGATATATTACTTACATATTATCTTCAAATTAAATATTCAACAGATAATGCA